CACGGAGGAGAAGCATCGCTCACAGAGCTCAGGTGTCGGCAGTCCACAAGCCTTGCAAGGTGGCAAGGGTTCCTCCCCAGCCTCCATGGCACCAAGCCAACCCCATAACGACCGGACTGCTCTGGCCCGTGGTGCTCTCCACGCAACCAGGTCAGCCGGGATGGGCACCAAGGATGGGTCCCTCCATCCACGCTGTGGGGATTGCCAGGTCCTCCACACATCCCAAAGTTCGGTGAGGTCGACCATGCTATCGGCATTGTGCTCGATGAAGGCGACCAAGCCAAAGATGTTGTCCGGCGCAAAGTCCCGAGCCGTCCAATGAGTCCGCAGCGGCTCGATGAGTAGCAAATCCAGCTTCGCCTCGCCCAGGCGATCATAGTAGGATTGCCACGCACGCCGCGGGTCACTCCCGGGCAGAGCCAAGACAGCTGAGCTGTTCCATGTGCCGATCCAAGGGAACTTGAATCCTCCCTGATACTCAGTACACCTCCTACAGTTTTCTTCCATACAAGGTGACCGTCTGAAAGGGGGAAGTCCCTGCACCCCCAACCCAATTGGATGTGGGGGGAAATGATCAATTTGGCACACGGACGCCCACAGTCGGGTGGCCTCTGCCACCAAGCCCCGCTGGAGTAGGCTCTCCACGTGCGTCTTGAACTCGTAATAGGCAGCCGCATGAAGCAGCTCCACATCCGTGTGGGCCGCCTCATTCCAACCGGGCCGAACGACAATGGAGGCCCTTGGCATCGAGGGGGTGACCTCCCACCTTCGTAACCTCTGTACGCTAGGGTAACGCCCTAGTAGAGGAACGAGAAACCACTGAACCTAGGGTAACTCCCTAGAAGTGGTGTGGGTACCCCAACAAAAGAAAGAACGATGAAGCCAGTTTGGCTCAGACTTGAGCCAAAATGGATTCATCAGCTTACATACTCACCCTAATGATAATGCACACCCAGTGCCTGCCAAACACGATGCATACATATAATTGGATTTCATAGGATTTAATGGATTCCATGGGGTTTTAGTGGGAATATTATATGATATTATATGATAATCAAACATGGCAAGCTCGGAAATCCCCCTAGAATGGTTTTGTATAATGGAAAAAACAAATCTACAAATTGTGGAATTTTCCGTTGCCATGTTTGATTTTTGGATGCTATATCACCTATGGCGAAAAACAACAAACAAACACATGTTCAGTAAATGTAAGGAACCATGGTAGTCAAATTCCAAAAGAAATATGAGCAGCTTTTTGTGCTTCACTGGGTCTCAAATTTTGTCCCATACCCCAACTGGGATTGCCCCAAAATCAACGCCTATTCTGTCCCAGGAAAACCAGCTAACAACGGAACAAATCTCGTTGGCAAGCTACCTAGAAGGCTTTCAGGTTCCAATTTGTTCGGAACATACGCCCGTGCCTATTGCAGCATCGTGTTCTACTTATCTGAAGTACCAAACTGCCCATTGACATGCCTTCAAGAGCGTCAAGTCTTCAATGTATGTATGTAATGTAACGTAGTGTAATGTAGTGTAGTGACTTCTATTTCATTTGGTTTAAGTTAAGAATTCTGTACGTTTTTTCCTGCCCGGCAGCACCCCATGGGACACCAGACCCACCACTTTCAGTTCATCACCCGGCCTGGACAAAAACTGGGGTGGTATGGCCAGAATGGATGATGATAATTCCCAACCGTTTTGATAGTATACCACTGTACTTAATATCGTATATAGTATATATATATAGGATACTTTACATATATATATATATATATACACATGTACCACAGTATAACATAGTTTTATAGTATAATCTAAAATATACCATAGTATAATATCTCATAAACGAGGACATACGATAGTATATAGTATAACTATAACCCTCAAACTAATCACGGACCAACAAGAGTTTTGAACACTGCTTATATGTGATCCATATGAGCCATGGTCAATACTCACTATATGGTTGATGGTCATCCCATCCATAATAAGGATCCAAAAATAATGGTTATGAAATCAATCCCTATTGGTCCCATTGGATGACTAGCCCCGTTTTTAATGGTTATTAACCATGAGTATTGACCAGTCGGCTCATATGTGGCATGACCATCTCCAGCTTTGAAAAAATCGGAACGGGACCATCTCTGGGCCTGTCAAAATTGCTTGAGAAATGCTGACTGTCTCGATCGCTTGAAACCCGCTTGGTGCGCTTTCACTCAAAATGCCCCCTATATGGGAGCCTGACACATGGCGACTCAGACAAGAAAATCATTTGACAATTGGGTGACTGTCATGGTATGTCCATAAATAGGATATAAGACCCCTATTTATCAATCAAAATTATGACAGGTGAAGCTGGAAGTTATGGCTCAGGAAACATCGCTCATCGACTCATCGACTCATCGACATCCCGCCTAGCACAGCTGCAATAACATTGAAACGACAGCTCTACCGGCATCAGTCCACCGCACACGAGTTGAAACTTTGGTGTCCTGCTTCGAGCTATTGGTGCTTGGACACCAAAAAATCTGTTTGGATTCTTGTTGGCGCTTGATCATGTTGATACTGTTTGGGCACTTGGCTATGGCAAAAGGCTCTGACACATCTGGGCCTCAGCTTAATGCATTGTGATGCTTTGTGAGAGATATCCTTTTCGTGATTTGCTGGCTTCACATCTTGTCTATGGCTCCTCTTTATCCCTTATCTCAGCCATGGATAACAGCCAATGGCCCGTCTGGAGCCAAAGATGACCAGAGACCAATCGGAACAGAATGGAAGCGTCAGGCAACTTGCCTGTCACCGCTGTCGATGGTTGCGCGGTTTGTTGAATCTAAAACTGATTTCAAAACACCAACAAATAAAAACACCTAAGGTGTCAAGGTGTCTAAAATGGGGTTTAACATTGTTTAAACCATGGCGTCGGGAAAAGAACGTACAGTGATACCATGGCATCAACGGAATCTTCAGGGATCATCCACATCGCCTCTGAGGCTTCATCTTCAGCCTGATCCAGCGCCGGGTAACGGGGCAACTTCATCCGGCAACTTCATCCAAAATGGCATCCAGATATCATCCAAATGGCATCCAATTGGCATCCAAATCTACTATACCAGCAATATGAGCAATATGAAAGTTGATGGAAACTGGCCCCCTCTGTCCGAGCATGAGAAAGTCAACAACACCACATGCAATTCGAGCACGTATGATGCAGCCAACATCAGAATGGACGCGACATCGTCCACCGCCCGCTCGCTGTACCTGTTTCAGCTGCTCCTGGATCATTGCTCTGGCTCCAGCAGCCTGATGCAAGGCCCCTGGGACTTGGTAGTGGCTCACATGGACCAGAGCGCAAATTCTTGACAAACAGGAAAGATTTGGGTGCTCTTGGGTGATTCAAATCCCCCACATCTAATCATAGGAGAAAATCTGCCAATCTTGAATCCCCCATGACCTCCCAACTAAAACGTCATTTGGATCGTTTGGGTTGAACATCTTCCAATATTGGAATCTCCCCCATCCTCCCTCCAGGCCCACCTCTGCCCAAGCAGTGTGCAGTTCCTCGTGCTTTGCGCAGGCGTAGGCGGAGGCTTCCTGGTCGACCAGCTTGAGATGGAACTTTCACTATTGGTTTTGGCGCTGGGAAGCTATTGCGGACATATGATGAATGAGCTTTCTAAGAGCTGTTCAAGATAAAGGTGCCTGGAAATTAAAAGTCGAATCCCCTGCCTTTTGCATTCGAACCGCAGTATCACAGCGGCCAGGGGCGGGACGATTTCTTACCTGTCCACCTTTTCTTTATGAAGGTGACATGGCAGGAGAATGGACAGGGGTCTGACCAGAAGAAAAAACATCAGCAAATCGTGCCCCAGTTGAGGATTCTCACGTCACAACACGGAAACTATCAGAATGATGGGGAAAATATCATCATGATTCATCATGTACCTAGGCAATCCATGATAATCCTAGATATAAGGCATCAAATCACCAATTGTCCAGGTCATGACGCTCTTTCACATATATAAAAATAATTATTATGGTACTGTATGTATGTACAAATATATGTGTGTATGTATATATATATATTCTAGGTTGGCGTTAACAACTCTGACGTGTAGTATCTTCCAGGTATTTCCGTTGCGGTTGCTGGTGCCGACCTTGGCATCTGCCAAACGTTTGTGGTGAACCTGCGGCGAAACAGCGGCAAATGTGCGCAGTTTGACACCATTTAAGGGGGAAGACCATGGAAGAAACATCTTAGTTTGTACTCATCGAGCTTGTCATTCCCTCAGTGTGGACGGAACAAAACTTAGAAACTGTGATGGCCTCAGGGTCGCTGAGGCCAGCCTTCTCCTTTTTCAGTTCTTCCTCCCAAGGCGATCAGCGTGGGGCAAGCCTTGATATACCATCATGCATCTAGCCAGCCATTGTGTGCATCTCCTATACACAGAAAATCTGGTCCTGCAAAGTTGTTAGGTAACTGTTAGGTGACTACACTAAGCTGTGAATACAGGTTCGTTTAACAAGGAGGTCTGGCTGATACCGCGTGCAACTCGGCCAAGATGGGTATCTGCCACCTTCAGGCGCATCAACTTAGATGGGTTATATATGGTTATATCATTTCAGCCACAACACGACAACCCAGTAGGTGGCAACATTCTCCACAGTCCATGCCCGTCCCAACCTCCTCGGACTGCATCAGTCGCTCCTGGGAGTCAGCATGGCTGCACCTGATGACAAGCCACAGAAATTCTGCGAAAATGAGCCTGCATGTTAGCCAGTGGTCTTTAAATAGTTCAGTCAGCGGAAAGAATGGAAATCAAATGGGGATGAGATCAAATGACCACTTTGCAATTTATGCCCTTGCAATCCACATCCACAACTGCTGCGGTTTCCGCATCTTCGTGCAGCCTTCCTTGAGAAACTGTTGCTCCCAAGTGTGGCTTCGGTCGATTAAAAATTGCTGTCGCTTGGTCGGAGAGGTGATCAATCCCCTGAAAATGGCATGGTAGCAGCATGATGGCAGAATAACTGTCCAACTGCAATAGAAATTTGCATCTACAACCATCTACAACCATCTCACAGCCCAGTAAACTAGGTATAACAAGCAACAGTCACTGGGGTTCACAGCAGATACTCGCCACCTCTCAAATGACCTTGATGTTGGTGATCTTGGCATCACCATAGAGAGCCCTGAACTCCACTGCAGAGAGCTGACTCAACACCTTGCGGCTCTCGGGCTCTTCCATCTTCACGAACAAGCCCATGTCGCTTCCATGCATGATCATGATGGAAGAAGTCTGAGGACAGACTTGAATGTCGAATGTCCCTTCTGCTTTTGCAACATCCGGAGAGGCTTTGAACACAGAGTGTAGGGGATGGCCATTCCCAGACAACCAAAGTGAGCAAGTTTCTCCGTCCGTCTCTTCAACCAAGCAGGAACGTTCTTGAAGAATCTCTTCACACTCCATCTCAAGCCATGTACCATCAAACCCCAGCTGCATCAGCTGGGCAGACGGCGAGTCTTCAAACTTGACCATCTTTCCAATGCCAATGACAAAACCCAAGTTGTTGTCATCCAGCAGGGCCACCTGCACATGCAGTGCAGAAAGAGTAAAAGTGAGCTTCATTGTGCCTGGGCATTTTGCCCTTGCCGGCAAACGCCAAGGTCTTTCGGACGGCATCGCATTGACGGCAAAACCATTGGAGAGTGCTGAAGGAGACGTGAAGATGTATGCACCAAAGATCTCAAGAGGTGTTAAGAAGGAATCGGTCACAACAATCCTGGAAGATTCTCCATCCATCAATTCCAAAAGTCGCTCTTCCTCTGTCCCTGTCAATTGCTGGTAGGAAGAACGTGGGATCAGAATCTGCGCTGCATAGCCTTTCAATGGAAGCAAAGGTGGTAAGTGTCCCTCAATCAGGCAATGAGAATTCTCATATGCCATGAACATCAACAAATCATTCTGGTCCACCTCCTCAATGCTGCCCCTCTTATAGTGTACACGACAAGCATTTGCAAGCGCACTTGCCATGACACTGCGCCATCCTCGAACGCCAGCATTCAGCTTGCATCTGTGAAATTCCTCAACGTCACTTTTAGGAAGCCAAGTGTTGAAGGTTTTGGCATTTCCACTTGCAAAGCCAGTGCCAGCACATGGAGTCATGTTGAAGTCTGGATGACACATGACCGTCTGCTCCAAGACGATCATAATATCTCCGTAGCCCTGTTCAAAGTGAGCACCCACAATCGAGAACACTTGTTTGTTGGTACCCAGCTCCAGGTCTCGGAAGTAGCCAATCCCAGGTGTATTTCCATGAAAAACATTGCTGGCATGCTCTTCTGCACGTTCGCCCAGTTTTTGCATGAGGCTGTTCAACGACCGCACACTGGCAGCTTCTTTTGCAAAGGTCTGATCCATCATATGCAGGAAAGGATCAACATCTGCTGGAAGCCGGCTTCGAACATTTTCCCAATTTGCCGCAATCATGGCAGCTGCTTCGGCTGGATTTGTGACAGCACCAGATGACAGGGAGGACAAGTACACCCAGAGGGCGCCATGTTTGTCCGGAAGTCCCAGCAATTGTCGGAAGTGGCTTATCAGTGCATCCAAAGCTGCTTGCACCTCTTCTGGAAGAGCCTCAACGACCCGGTTGAGCGCGTCTGACAACTTGGACGTGAGCTGACTCCAACCGTAGAAGTATTTGACCTCCAATTCCAATTGATTCACAGCTGCTGTCAATGTTTCCAAACTCTGGCGCCTCTGAGCACGATCACTTGCCTCACTGCTTTGGAATTGGATGCGAGCAAGTGCCTGTTTTGAGGAAGCAACAACCCAATCAACAAGGGGTTCAACTGGCTTGTCCTTGGTGAAGGACAACATCCAGCAATAAATGCGGCTGTCTGCTGGCACTTTCTTTTCCAAAGCAGCATATGGGTCTTCAGCAATGGAGCTTCTGACTTCGCGACTGTCAAGCGTTCCAGTCTGTAGAATGGATTTGAATGTGGCAATGGCGCATCGGTGCACTGGCCGAAGGTAACCAACCAACTCCTTGACTTTAGGGCACACTGGCATCTCAAAGTATGGGATATTCTCACTTTTACCATTTTCTTGAAGGATCCTGGACCGCATGTAGTGCAAGTTCTGATAGTAGTCCACACCGTGCTCTGCCTCCAGGTTGAAGATCTGGGTGGGAGGCAGTGCAAGTGTTGGCAAGCCACCTTTGGGAGTGAAGGTTGCTGGATGGTTCTGCACGCCAGAAGAGGTCTGCACGGGCTGGGCCTGACCCATGACGCCAAACCACGTTTGACCCATGACGCCAAACAACGTTCAAGGCGGACCTTTCTACACACCTTCCTGCTGGGCCACAAAGCTTGCCGGGGGAAGCACGAGTCTCAGTATTTAGGACCTGTGGCCTTGCTGAAGGCAAATGGAGTTCTGAACGCCAACAAGGTGGAGGAAATCCATCATTTTAAACCCAGTTGTTTCTCCCTTTTCCAAACCAGCCTTTGTCTTTCCGAAAATTTGGATGGCTCCCCTAAGCTTCCCAGCTGTTCGCGTAGCTTCAGCAAATTGTCCTCCGTCCGTTGCAACGTCTCCTGAGGAAAACATGGACTAGATGGCGGAGAATTTGATTTAAAGATGTCTTTATGTTGAATGGAAATTCACTGATGTTTCTACTCTGTAGTCTGTATTTGAATCTTGGTTGTTGCAATGTTGTCCCAAGTGATTCAGTCAGTTTCAACCCAAAGCATTGGCTTCAAAGGACCACAGTTCAGTGATGAGTAAGGTTCCTGTTCGGAAGCGATCTATATAGTCATCACACTAGCCTGCAGTGTCATGAATAAACCATAAATACCATAAATTGGCATGCTTGGCATCTTTGTGGAAGTCACAAAAACACCGTTTCTGCTGTTCGGTGAAGGAAAACCATGGAAAACCCATAGAAGTCCATAGGTGGTTGCCATCCCCAACCTGTTGGACGATCCCTTGCCTTGAGCCATCTCTCTTCCTCGAGCCAGCAACGTTCTCTCCTTGGCGGGCTGGAATCCCTGGTCATGGTGCCTTCTACTTGGGGCTGCATTTGGGGTTGTTACTGGGCCCCATGGTCCATAACCATAGAGGTTCTCTCAAGTTGTGAAAGCACCTGCGATCGGTGGTCAATCGCTAGCAGGACACAGTGTCTTTTGAAAATATGTCAGGCCTTTCTTTGGGCGGTCAAAAGAAAAGAACACACATCTGAATCTGCCTGAGCTGATTTCATAATAGTCCAGTTTTATGGGCCTCACAATTGTTGTCGATGTGCTTCAAATCGTAGACCAACAGGTTGCGCAGCAAGACTGTCCAAAGACTGCAGTTTCAACACTTCATCACTTCACCATCGGGTGAAACACCAAGTTGGCTCATCTGTATGGGTATAGGCGGTATAGAGACAAAAATTTAAGGCCATGTTGGACGGACGAATGCTGGTCGTTTTCGCCACCTCTTAATTGTGGTTGTTTATATGCCCAGTTTCTGCTGGTTAAACAAGAATCACCCATCCTCATTTCCAAGACACATCAGAACAGCGTTCAAACAGCATAAGATAACAATCACAAGCCTGAACATCATTCAGAAAAACTAGAACAATCTTGAAAACCCTTGAATATGTGAAGCCTCAAAGAAGAAACACATAGTCACAGAGGTTTAAACAGACAAATCCCCCATCCCTCCATCCAGCCCCACCAGCTGTTACCTGGGCCCCGGCTCATCCCGAAGCTTCCGCAGGGCGCGGAAATGCAGGTCTTGGTGGAAGTCCTCACGATGGCCGTTTGTGCTTTCCACTAGATAAATCTGAAAATATCGCACTATGATATTATGATATTATGATATTATATGTTATTATATGATATTATGATATTATTATATGTTATTATATGTTATTATATGATATTATATGTGATGTGTTCGGGATGTTTCTTGAGAATGACGAAACCATGTTGTACAGACATCTGTGCAGAGGACAGCGCCTGCTCGGCAGCATCATCCCATTTGGGCGCCCCTTCGTTGCACGCCTGGCCAGCGCAAGATCCACCGGCCACTGGGCCCATGGGAAAATGAGTGGATAAACAATGGAGCCACGTCCATCTATTTGAACCTACGAATGGATGAAAAAAGAAACCACTTTCATCTAAATATGGATTTCAAAGAGAAACAATGTAACAAGTATTCAAAGTCTCTAGTAAAAGGTTTGGCAAAACCCCTGATAAGACAAGGGAAAATCAGATTTGAGTTTGTTGTTTTGTTTGGATAATTGTGGCTGCATCGTTTTACTTCCCGCAGGGTTCCCTGAAGTCTTAGCACAAAAAACTGGACATTCTTCACACCAGTATGTATCCAAACCTGAACCCAAACATGCCAGAACAGAAGGGGAAGCAATTACACAAACAAGTTGGTGTCCCAGTCCATTTACTTGATGTAGTCACTGTAATCGTCTTCCCCCTCACATCAAGCTCATTCTATTTCTCCCACCCTTCCGGTTCTTTGGCATTCGGCCTCCCGCGCACTGGAGGACTCACTTTCTCGAATATCCTCCTGCAGGCGCATGATCAGCAACGCGCAATGCCGTCGGAAACAGCTGTACCATGCCGTAGTCAGTCCAAAAGTAGCACGATGTGGCGTATGTGGCGTAAAGGTTAGAGGGGTACCAATGCAACGACCAAAATTGTTCATTCTAGATTTTACATTGCTTGTCTGACATGTTTAAACCATCCAATTTGAGGATTTGAGCGTCAATAAATGAGCCACACGGGGCCTCGGCACCACTTCGCCTGATGCCACAACAACACATGCCGGCTGGTCATCCCATTTTTTCAGGAGTTATATATGTTTGTTGAATATGTAAGATATATTCTAAAAATAAACTATTATCACTATTTGCTCATCTGGCAATAACAGGCATGAGGACCAGATTTGATCATGGCACATGTTGTGCCAGTCCAAAGATTACCCATTTGACAGACTTTGCCAGTGCGGTTTCATCCGTGACAACAGTTGAAGGGTCACCAAGGGAAGGCAGCTGAAATGGCAAGGTGCAGTAGGAGATGCCCAAAACCCACCGGAATGCTGCAATTTAACTAAGCATCAGTTTTGCCATCCTTCAACTAAAATCTTTCAAAAATCTAAGGAAATCTTCAAAAACAAACACATAAAACAACTCTCACTAAAACAATGTAAGAGAATCTGGTTCCACATATTTCCACACCATCCGTCTGCATTTTTGAATTCCATCCACCATTCAAGCACCTCCTAAGTCGAGCAGGCTTGGCTGGAGCCAATCTGGAGGCCAACTGTTTCAGCTGCCGAACCTCCAAACCCAACCCCGCCCAGTCTAGGTCAGCACAAGATTTGGAGAAAAAAACATGAGACGAACAAATATACGAAGAATAAGATAAAATAAATATAGAATAACCATGAATAAACATGAATAACCGTGTTCCTGCGCAAAAAAAACAGATGAACAATTCGTGAAAAGAAACGAGCGCAGACAAGACACCATCCACAAAAATCATTTTAAAAAAAAAAAAAATCCTGAGAAGAATGATATGCTGACATCCATCCAAGAAAATTCTTATGGGCTTGGAGATGCCTTAAGGTGGTTTGGGGGGGGTCACCGGTTTCCCCCTCAGCACTGGAGTTTCCACGTTGGTTGAGACACCTTTGAAAGACCTTGGGGTCATAATTCCATTTGCTGCCATGGAAAATAAACATGATTTACAAAACCACTTAGTAACTACTGTTTGATCACTGATTAGTGATATATTATATGTTCCATCAAATCCCCATGATTACTTGTTATACACCCATTAGTGCCCTCCGAATAGAGCTGCCGGGCCTCGTCATCTGTCATGATGAGCCTAAAAAAAAGCCGTTCAAGTCAACGCCTACAATGGTTGGTTGATAAAACTAAGAAAGGTGAATGGTGCAAACCAGCAAAATGGTTGATCTATACTACTAAGATGATATATATATATACTACGATATACACTAAAATATACACTGACAGTATACACTAAGATATGTTCTGCAGGTTTCCTAAATTGGGGGTACACGCAAATCATCCAAATTAGACCATTTTAGTATTGAAAGTCGGGTTCACCACATTACGAACAATGGTTGGTTGATAGTCAAACAAGGTTGATGAAGGGAATAGATTCAGGTCGATGCATCCGGATCGCTATTCCATCTTTGTCAAAACCATTGGATTTCATTTCCACAACGACAGCGAAGCAATCTGGACCCACCATTTTTGATTTCTGACATCTACGTTCCAATCTGTAGAAGCAAACCCCAACTTTACACCCAAATAGTGAATTGGACCATCTCGTTCAAACCTCTTGTGGTATGCGGCAAAACCAGCAGGGAGGAACTGGTCTCAGCTGTGGGTGCCCACTCAGAGTTGATCACCGGCTTCAGAGCATCCAACTCTTTACCTCAAGGCACTGCACATGGAGGGGTACCCTTTTGGAGGAGCCCCTGTTGGATTTTTGTTTCAGGGGATTCCAACATATCCAGCAAATTCCTACCCCTATTGAGGATGCGTAGGGACTGTAGCAAGCTAAGGGGATTTGCCAAATAGGTCTCCTTTCCGCTGTACCCTATGAGGCTAAGAACCGGAGAAGGGATCCTCGCATGCTCAACCCAAACACCAAGAACATGCCCCTTCTGACACCAGTTCGGGTCTTGATACTCGGCACTTGCCCACCCAACAAAATCCTAAAATTTTAAGAGCCTTCCAAAAAAGTGTCTGGAACTCATCATGATCTGGTAAATCATAATCATTCACAAGCCTGAAAGCTTCGGTCATTTTGGGAGAGTTACCCCAATCCAACTCCCATCATTCCACTGACGGCTCCCCTTTCCGCCATGCTACCGACAGCATCGGCAGAGGCCAATGCGGCATGGACTTCCCTTAAGGACTCCTTTGAGGAAGCGGACTGGAGAGATCACGGGGTAAATTGCCTAACTGGGGGGCCTAGGGATGGAAAAGAACTTGGTTTATATTTTGTTTACATTATATACTGCCAAGATCTTGCAAGATCTTGGCGTGGTGGAAGCACTCTGGAGCTTTTACCATGTTTTACCAGCTTTGAAACTTACTGACATTCACATGTTTCTTCCCCCAAACCTCAGTTTCTGTATTGGACATGGCTAAAGAATGGACATGGACCCACAACAGCCATATGAAAACCATCCATGTTTGCAGGTCATTGAAAAATGAGCCATCCCATCCCTATTCCTAAGCAACAATATCAAACCATAATTAAGCCTCAGCCAGTGGGTTTTGGTAGGAAAAATGAGGTGCCATGAAGCATTAGGATGAGGGCTTTCCATTGAATTTTCACCACATATCAATGGAAGATCATGGGGAATCAGATCCCTTAAATTCAATGAATATTGCCTATCAATATTGTGAATCTTTTAGTAATCATACGTGATCATTAGTGATTTTCAGGCCTCATGGTGATTACAACCATAAGCTGACCATCTTCAAAATAACACCTATCATTTTTCTTGATCCATCCCATACCCCAGTCATTATGACAAGAACAGCAATGATTGTCTTTTTGGAAAAATCATCAGTTATAATATTGGTAAAGCAATCATAACCCATCCATCCTACCAATTTTACCATTCCATCTTTATGGGTGCTTTTTGAACCATCAATCCACATGGTTTACACGGTTTACGGCATGGCTTTACAAACATCACTAGAGTTAGATAGAAACTGATATCCATCCCACAGTCCTTTTGAAACTGAAACTGATCATAAAATATCATAAATCGAGAAAACTCATTGACTGCTGTTTTTTTTTGGATCCATCCGTTCCATTCCCCATGAAATCTGCCCATCGTCGTCCTTCAGTTCCTTGCTGCGGCGCTCCGCACGGTCCACCTCCATCGAGACCTCCTGGCGCTGCTTGGCGAAGCCGCTCCGCTGCGCGCAGACGTCCACCAGGCGGCACTGCGGATGGAGGACGGTGGAAAATGTGGGGAAAATCTGTTGTGAACAACAGTGAAACATCCATGGATTGGATGATAGGTTTGATCTATTTTGAAATGAGATAATGATATGAAATCATCTAGGTCTGATTCTCGATTCTCTAGATGACTTACCTGAACCTGTTGGAACATGGGGGATTCTCCAGTGCCTCTATTGCCTTGGGTATCCACTGGGAGGTGGCACCCCACCTGACACCGCTCCAACTTGGCTGGCGCTGCATGGCAGAACTCCTGCGGAGTTTCTCAGAGATTTGGGTCTCAAAATTGGCTACCCTCTGGTTATATCAACAGTTTGCAAACTAGAAAATGGCCCATGAAAATTAAAATTTTATGATGTTGATTTACCCTGATTTATGATGGTGATGTTTCATGGCTATGTCACTATGTCCGAAGATGTTAGTTTACTAGAGGCTACACCATGGCACCATCCAAAACTCACCGCCCCGCAGGGCTGGAAGTTGGGCTCCTCCCATTCCGCTTCATGTCTCCGTAGCTCCTCAGCCCGTAGCTTTGCCTTCGATGGAAACTCGATGGAAACTCGCTGGGTAAGCTTCAACATGTTTCATCAAGGATGGGGCTCGGGAATCCCAGTATTTTTCCTCTCATCCACTTCTGGGTCAATGCTTTTTATTGTTTGGGGTGTATGAAAAAAAAAACCTGGCTGTACCAGAAATAGATGTTTGACAACTGTCCCACTCAAATTGTGACTTGGGAAATCAGTTTTTGGTGGAAATCCCGATCAGAACTAGGAGATGCGCAGGTTATTAGTAGTGCATCCCATCTGAATGTCGATGGCCAGTTGAATGCGGGGGATTTGCCACTGAGCACCGCGAAGCGAAACTACTGGTTGGCCGTTTCAACCCATCGCAAAAAAATACTGAAAATGCATCAGAATACATGAGTTAGTTGGGGTAAACATCCCAAAAAAGGGGTTGTGCCAGAAAAGAGTCGAGTTCAGGACACCGACCTGTTCCCAGTCCCAGACCATCACACCTCCACTTCCTTGTTTCCGGAGCTTTCAGCCAGGTCCTGAAACAGCGAAAACCGGGCAGCTGTTGGACAACTCCTGTGTCATGTATTGGAGATGCTGGGGCCGTGCGCCAAAAATTGCGAAGGGCTTGATACATTTTATTGCGTAATGGACAACCATCCAAATCATGGGTTAATAACCAAGAACTCTTCAGCTGCTCAGTTGCTCATACTTTGCTAGAGCTTGCACAAAAAATTATTGGGATACACAAAAATCGGCCTTGAACCCTCAAAATATGGATCAAACATACTCCCAACTTGCCATCAACCGTGGGACACGTGAAGTTTTGCAATCCCTTGGAATGGGGAGTACCCAAACCTCAGCATCTCGTAACTGCGCGCGAAGCTCATCGACCTGCTGAGCACCAGTTCCACGTCTGGGCATGTTGCGTCCTCCATTGGTTGATATACCAGGTTTACATGGTTCATACTTGTTCAAGAAATTTCAAGAATACGAATCCCCATTTTTTGAAGCCCAAATCCCCATTTTCATACCCCCTGGAATATGCGTAACACTCCTGGCAAAACACCGTGTATACACCCGTAAAATTGCCATGCGCGTATGGTCCCTGGCTGTTCAATCAAAATAGCTGGGATTTATGAGTTTCATCCCCTCCAAAGACAGTGTATTTCGTTTTGACCCGTCTCTATTGATATTCTACAAATAGCCTCTGGCAATTTAAATATGCAATGTTACCAATTGCTAGATGATTTACTTACAAGACAGTGCCATGTTCCATGGCTATGTCAGAATACCCAAAGCTGATCCTATCAGCTCCCCCAGGCTCCGCCTGTGCAAGGTGCTGCTGATGAAGCTCCTCACATTGCTCCAGCTCGGACAGCACGGTCTGACACCTGGGAATGAACTGAGGATGCGAAAATTCGGAGGCGGTGAACTGTTACCAACCAGCATAGGGATCTCAGGGATCTCAGGGACCTGAATGCCAAGTCTTTTTTCTCTCTTTCCAACTATTAATGGCTTTAGGCCCCGAAAAAGAATGGGATAAACACCCTGGCCCTGTACCTGGAGCATCATCAAAATGCTTTGCTTGGGGAATTACCAATCCTGGTGGGTCTCGCATCTCGCGGAGTACTAGGAATTGTTAATAACAGATCTCTGCCTGGTGCCGCGGTCTTGATTTTGGATTCATGAATTCAAGAGCCCAACCATAGACCTGAGGCTCCTGATCGAATCTCCAATGATATGATTATATATATATATATTATATATATATTATATAGGTGATCTCAAAGTTAGAACTTCACCCTTCCAACCATTTCCAACCTAGGCCATTTCTCCAGAGATCAGAGTCAGAGATCGAGTCCCGCACCCCGTGAAGTCGCCCTCCTTCTGACTGAAGTCCCAAATGAGTTGATCCACATCTTTGGCCAAAATGCCTTGGAACCCAGCTGAAAAAATGGGCAAGATGGACCAGGAACTATATGTGGATGGAGACCACAAAAAGCAGGCAAAAGACTGGGTCAAACTGGGAAAAGAATACATGGCTAGTTTTCACCAACCTTCAAATTTGGACATCATACATACATTTGTTTATCATAATAGATCCAGATACCCATGGAATATTCGCAGACACCCAGACGGGTGGCCATGTTTGATGCACCGTTGCTGCAGGCGAACTTCCATAGCCTGGCACTCCAATAATCAAACATGGCAAGCCCAGAAATCCCTATCTGGAGGTTTCTATGGGAAAATCATCCAGGAGTTTCCACTACGATGTTTAAGTACTGGACTATACACAACTTCTTGGTTGGGAGGATCATCCAAAATCAGTATCAACATAGGCATCGAATAAGGCTGTGGATACATGAACCATCCTGAGTTTGGTGCCTCTTGGAAGAAGTTCTGCACTCACAATGATGATCCAGGTCACCAGAATCCAGGTGATTCGTACCCTCTGGTAATTTAACATAGCTATTGAAAATTGCCATTTATAGTGGATTTACCCATAGTAGGTTTCCAAGTCCCGCGGCCATCTGGAGGCCTCCAAATCATCCTTCAAGTTGTCCACCTCCAGCAGAAAACCGACTCTCGGAATGGCAGGGTGAAAACGTTGTAGGAACAGATCTTCAAACATCAAACATCAAATTATATCATCTGCCAGAATTTTTCACAGGATCAACTTTACAGATTCTCCAAACCATCAGCAAAATCCCCCAAACATCAGTATCATAATGTTAGGTATCTCTAACGCATCTAATGTGGCACCTCGTTGCGCAAGATGCCACGGTTCTTGGTGAGATCCCGGAGCTTCTGCTTGAAGCCCTGCGCACCGGGAGATGCGAAAACGAAGTCCGGGTCGAAATGATGACTGATGGCTATGTATAGGATTGTATAATAGTGTATATACTGTGTACATATCTATATAAAAATAATTATATAGATATATACGTATTTATAATACATATATATATATAACGTATATGTGTGTATATATATATATATATTTGAAGGGTTACGACCTATTTTTCTAAATGGGTCAATCCAACATAAATGGCCTGTAAGAGACACACTATGTGTTTCTTCACATCTATAACGTATAAGTGATAGGTTATAACCCAGAGACCGGAGTTTGAAGCAAACAAAGATGGTGATGTTTGGTGACCTACCAGATCTTTTCATATATTGCATGACATGTTTTTAAATCTCAGTACCAACTATATATTCTTATCGACTTAGACTTAGAAATGTCCAAATTTCATTGGCATTGCTGGGCCCGACATAGATTCAGAAGAGCACAGTGCTACCACTCCCAGTTTGGGATCACACCATTCCCCGCCTGCAGGTCCTTCTCACGAACACACGGATCCTGAGGTCATGTACCATGTGGCGACTGATGGGTACTCATGGCTACTGGCCACCAAGAAATCTCTGTCTTGCAATGAGATAAACACAGATTTTTTTCTGGAGTTTAGGACGGAGAATCTAGCCGAATCTAGCCGAATCTTGCAGCATTCATGGGAGTTGGGCTGCATTCCAAATCTGATTGCAGGTGATGTGCCCATCATGGCCTGGATTGCTGCCATCCTCAACCAGGCGTTTTCTTGGAGAACCCTGCACTCGGTTCATGTTTCCCTGGTTACCATGTTTCCATTGCCACGGTTGATTACCAGAGTGTATATCCAAATATCATCCATTAATTATACCCTCTGGTTATCTAACATAGCCATGGTATAGATGGCCCATAGAAATAGATGGTTTACCTATCAAAAATGGTGGATCTTTCCATGGCAAACTGTTAGTCACAACCAGAGGCTAAAATATAAAATCCCAAAAAAAATTCTCCCCCCATATATTGTCCCACAAATATCATCAAAGATCACCATCCCTACACCATGTTTGACGCCGCCAGTCCTCGCCTCACTCAAGCCTCCAGCCACGATGTGAGAGCGCTGGACTTCGCCTCAAAACGGGTGACCCCCTCGCAGGGGCGTCCCGAGGTCCCAAAACGCACTGCCCAGTTTTTGAATGATAGTTGGGAGGTAGAATATATGATTTATATATAGAGTATATGTGAATATACAATATACATATACATATATGTGTATGTATATATATATACATATATATATATACATATATATATATACATATATGTATATATCCCTACACTTGAATGATATTGAATCTAAAATATTCAGTGTAGGCAGGCTATGGTTTAAACTAGGAGATTCTGCTTCACCCAGTTCAAAATTCAAAGATGTTCAAAGCAAACCTGGTTGGTTGGGTCATTTAGGTGTCCATCGTTGAGATATGCTATCCGATCTGAGATGGAATTGGATTCATCATCAAGAGCATGCCCAGTTCTGACTTGCAAATGTTCAGAATTTTAGGTAGATACCCTGTATATCCCTGTTTGACAAATGTATAAATCATTATAAATCATGACTTGTGACAAATATCCTGCTAGATCCAATACGCGTATGTCAATTCTCATATTTGTTCATTGAAATTTCACCAAACTGATGACTTCCCACACCGGCTGGATACGTAGCCCATCCGCCAAATTGGGTGAACTCTTTGTGTTGCGCAAGGCCGAACGAGGATTTCATCGCCGTCAAGTCAGCTCAGAAAGCAGCAAGGGCAACCCATGAAATCAGCTCGTTTACAATGGTGGTTTAGTTCAAATTTCAGCAAATGGCCCTGGTGATTCGTCTCTCCGTACTGTTCATGACATGTAGGGACCAACCAAACCATTTTAAACCTCTTCATCTTTGCCATTTACAGGATGTTTAAAACCTTTTTTCACTTCCCCACAGATCCAAAGTTGGACTGAAATCGAGTTTATGTGGCCACTGACGACTGCCTGTGCTGGCTAGTGAACATGGGTCCTGGGATTCCTTAGAGCGGCCTCTCTAATCCCCCTAAGCCACACGCACATTCATTACATATATATTTATATGTATATATATATATATGGTTGTCCAAAATTCCCCGCAAATCCAATGGTTCATCATCGGCATATTTTGATGACCATCTTGTTTTTGCTTGCCATATTTCTGGTTCAAAACCACCTCTCAGGCCGCAGACATTTCTCGCGCGTCTGCGCCACACGGTCCAAAGCACTTACCTGCATCAATGGGTCAGTCGCCCATTCCTACGAAGAACGGTGGGGTGGGATTCTACCAGCAAGTTCAAGGATTTCTTACCAACGAAAGTAAGGAAATTAATCAAACTGACAGTTGTGAGCGGAAATTGGAGCCTTTGACTGAACGGTTGACGTCCCCTGTGAGGTTAGGAAAGGCAGGATCACACGATGGTCGCCTCTGCAAAGTTGCAAAGTTCTGCCAACGGCATCTTGAAATCATGCGGCAACGTTTGTCTCTTTTCTACAGAGAGTCCATGGCTTAGAATACAATCTGGACATATCATTGATATCATTCGCCCAGCAGGAACTGAGCTGAGATTACCCTCTGGTAATTTAACATAACTATTCAAAATTGCCATTTTTTATGGTAAAACTCACTATAAATGGCAATTTTCAATAGCTATGTTAAATTACCAGAGGGTAGTCCGGAACCTGGTGGTCACCAAAACACTGCCCACTCCCCGCCTGAGACATCTCGGAATCCCGCATCAAGACCTCCAGGATGCAGGCGCGGGGGCCTCAGAACAGCGATTGCCAGCGAGCACGGCAGCACGAGCGCGCACAACGGCAACGTTCAACTGCAACAACGATGGTGACGAACCAAGAAATCATGGTGATTTAAACCACTCATCACAAAAATCCAAAGTCCAAGGCTCCACTTTTGGATGTGGAACAATCATATTCATCCACTGTAACAGTTCTGCATCCAATGCTGAGTAAACATGAGCAACATCCAATGATTCCAGTTACTTCCCAAGTGCTATGCTCGTACAGTTCAGTCTGAACCATACACCCACATGGGTTTATCTGAAAATAGCTACTCCCAATTCAATTGGATCACTCAGATCACGATAAAACAGATCATTATCTGACCTAAAACAGCCCGCCACATTTGACTCGTCAGTTGATTCGATGAATTCAACCCCCAAAATTTCATGGAAATTTGGTGCTTCTGGGCTGCCACACCAAAGTCATTCAGCGGCACAGTGGTTAGCACCTGGATCTCCCAAGCACTGATGCTACTGATGCCACTTCTTGGACGGTGGGATGCTGTTCAATAAGTGGGTTAACTATATGGTTTTCTGTGATTTTCCATGGTTATATATGGTTTTATCTGGTTAATACTATTTATACGCTTTCAACCAGCCTGCCAATAAAAGTGTGGTGGGAAGTCTATATCAGGGAGCATCCAATCCCTATTGCTAATAGGTTGGGAATGAAGCATACAAAAGTTCCAAAGACTGCACAAAAGTTTCAAATACTGCAAGAGTTGCGAAACAAACAAACGTTGGGTCATGTTGGTAGCTGCAGCAGGTGGGAACATGCAGCTGCTGGGGCTTGGCACCTCGCAAGACGCTTTGATCCGCACCAGGATCCGCGCTGCGCGCACACGGACCTCACGGATTGGGCCCCAGTTGGGGCCTCTTCACACAGGACTATCCCAAGACTATTAACCACTCACAGACTATATGGAAGGTGTGGTACCAGATATTATATATGTATACACTGTATAGATATATTCATGTCATGATCATAAGATATGTACATATGGGGATGTCTGCAAATAGGTTGTTCCCATGTTCATTGTTGGCTATCCCATTCCATCCCGATCAAATTCATCAAAGTCCCATGAGATCCACAGAAAAAAACGTCCATATTCTATCCATTTAAGGGCACCAGATGACATGATCTTCTGAAAAGCAGTTGAGACTTGAGATGTAATCAATGTAATCATTTCTATGATCAGAAGGATTTTTACATCATCACATAAAAACTACATATATATATATATATAGAGAGAGAGAGAGCAAATCTCATGCTATCCCGATAAAATCCCATGAAATCCAGATCTCCGACACCAGAACGCGCCTCCTCCACCGAGACCTGTGCATTGGGCGGCTGATCTGCTGCAGCCCCGCCCACGCCACCGCGGACCATGCCATCAGCACCACCCTGGAAACGAAGAACATCTGGGAATTGGTAGCTGAAGCGCCTAAGATCATCGAAGACTTAGATGATCAATAAACCATCAACCTATGAAATTGGTACGAAAACACATACCCAAAACCATATTGATATTATCCAGCGAAATAGACGTATCATGGAATACCTTCAGCTACTTTTAGAATTCCTCCAGACACTTGGCTAATGGAAACAAAAGATTGAAATCAGGATGCGGCCAAGGTTTTAAAGATTTCTGCAAAACAACTGGAATTCACATCAAACTATCATTAAACGTCTAGATTTCTCAACCAAGGGAATGTTCTTTCGGGTGAAATCTTACAGCTTCCCAAACTGGCAGATGGGCCTTCACCAAGCGTTCCAACTGGCCGATCAAAGGCTGCAGTTCCTGCAATTTGGAAGGCTCCTTGGCAGTGACTTTGGAGGACCAGGTTTTGCTGTTGGCACTTCTAAGGGAATGGGCCAGTGAAATCAACAGCTAGACCATGGACAAACAGTTTGATGGGATTTGAGGGCACAAAGTATGACGCAAACCCATAGCTAGACAGCCAAACAAATTGGATTAACAGAGTACATTTACATACAGAGTAGCATTTGGTGCTGGCAGCAGTTGAGTGCTTGGTTGTAGATGAATGCGCTGAGTGACCCTTATAGATGGTTTCACCCGCTTTGCCGAGGGTGGAAAACGTACAAAATTAACCACTCTAAAAAGGGGAAAAAAAACAAGACACATCACAGAAACTGGTCGTTACCCATCAAAGAAGGATGGTGACCATAGACACAGTTCACTTCATCTCACGTAGCAGTCCCCCATCCCTGGCCATGCCACACTGCGCAGACACTCTCGTGTGGCTGCGAAGGTCACCTGCAAATGAGTGCTCATCCATAGAAATCACCATCCGGCAGCTAAAATGCTACTTGCGATTCTGGATGTGGAGGATGAGGATGATGATGATGATGATGATGAGGATGATGATGATGATGATGATGATGATGAAGATGAAGATGATGAAGATGATGAAGATGAAGATGATGAGGATGATGATGATGATGATGAAGATGATGATGATGATGATGAAGATGATGAAGAAGAAGATGATGATGATGATGAAGATGATGATGATGATGAAGATGATGAAGATGATGAAGATGAAGATGAAGATGATGAGGATGATGATGATGATGATGAAGATGAAGATGATGAAGATGATGAAGATGAAGATGATGAGGATGATGATGATGATGATGATGATGAAGATGAAGATGATGAAGATGATGAAGATGATGAAGATGATGAAGATGATGAAGATGATGAAGATGATGAAGATGATGAAGACGATGAAGACGATGGCGATGACGATGGCGATGACGATGGCGATGACGATGGCGATGACGGCGATGACGATGACGATGACGATGACGATGAAGACCATGGAGATTATGAAATTCATGAGTGAGGATCTACCATTGTGAGGGAAATTCCAAATCGGGACCGAATTGCAGTACACCAGATTTGAGTCCTGAACAAAAGACAGGTAAGTTCCACTCGGCTTCATTGAACCGATGCAACACAGGAATCCCAGTCCCGGCAAGTTGGCTCAACTCCATCTGGCATGAACCCTCGGTTCCAAACGACATGTTCGTCACTTCAGATGTCTCTGAAGTGGCCACATTCACATACTTAACAGAGCTACATCATGTTGCATATCTAAGTGTCATAGAGTCTAAGTCAGGAGCACATAGGAGCACTAGTTCACCAATTCCACTCCATCGCTTCACTGTCGACAAAAAACAAAATGATCCAATATGTTTTTTTGTTGTTTTTTGGCATCTGGGGGCCTCCTACAGCTTCAAACCCTTATCTTCTCTTGTTTTGAAGGGGGTCACAGCCCACAGGTCCAGCACCTTAGAACCTCTCTTGGTGGTGCTCAAAGCCTCAAGGGTTGGGTTTCTCAACCAAGGAAACATGTTTGTTTGGGGGGTCAATCTTAAACACACCCCAAAATTTGGTCGCAATTCATATTCCACAATAAAAATCATATCAACTGTTTGGCTTAGTCTTGGGATCTTCATCCTTGAGGATGAAGTCACCGCGGTCGCATCTGATTCTGACAGCTTTGTGCAACACTTCAGTGTTGAAAAAAAGAAGTGGCAGGACTGCTTCCACAACATGATGACATGCCCCGACATGCCCCAGTTTGGTAACAAAAAAGCACCATTCCGATGAGTACAACTAGGTCACTAGGTCCAGAAAGGCTCAGAAAGGGGACGATTTTTGGAGATACCATTGGTTTCCCCAGGATCGATCCCAAATTGGTGCCCTGACATGCGGCTCTTCCACTGACTCCTGCAGCATGGCGCATGGCTCCACTGAGAAACCGCAGAGTTTCAGTGGTCTCCAGATAGGTTTAACCTTCCCTTCCAACCAATACCATCACTGAAAAGAAACCATCATCAAATGTCATCCTTGTATCACAATTTATACAACTATAGTACTTATAGACTAAAAAAAAACTATACTAACTATACCCTTGTTTTTGCAAGTGAACTCCTTATTTGTTCTTTACCCAACCTTTGACCATCATCGTCGCGCTGCTGGGCCGCTGCGCCTTCTCCTCACACTGCAAGACGAAGTGATCCAAGATGGCTACGATGCAGGCGGTGACCTCGGAGCAGTGGCATGTTTATACTGTATATATAATATAATATATATATATATAATATGAACTATAATATAAACACTATGGTTATTATTGTTATAATCAGCTATATATGGTTATATTATATGATACTTTGGATAAGATAGATGAACTATAAGAAGATAATAATATAAGCATATATAACCTAATATAACTGATATAAATTATCATATTATATGCTGATATCTGCAATTAGAATATCATTGTTATGTTAGAATATTAATACAGTAATAGCTATATATATATACCATATATCCAACTATTCATTACATTTTTTGTCTTGGGCGTATGGATATGATCCGACTTAGATTACAGCCGATCCACTTAGTCATCTCTGGAACTAGAGCTCCCTAAAGCTTCGACCATGGAAGCACTGGGAAGTGCCATGGGCCATGGATCGCCGAAAACTGCGTCGTGGTGACCGTCTTGGACTTATGCAGTTTCTTGACAAAAAATTAGACAATTGGGATAACTTAGTAGTAATAATTGTTCCAAATACCCAATAAACATTGGAATATCTTATTTTTCAACACTATTATCATTGGAATTATCCAATTATCAGATTATCCAATAATTAATCTCATTGAAACACTAGTTTAATAAGTGGGAAAACTGGATGACTTGAAAGATCATCTCACTCTCCAAGATCTCCTGAACCTGGCCTAGTCGCCAGATTGGTACTACTACCCTCTGGTAATGACTAACATAGCTATTGAAAATTGCCATTTATAGTGGAATCTCCCATTAAAAATGGTGATTTTCCATAGTTATGTTAGTTTACCAGAGGGTAACACAGCTGGAATTCCGTTTTGAACAGCTGGATATCAGCTCGATATTAAAACGCTGGATATTGGCTTTTTGCCATGCCTTTCAAGAAATCCTGCTGAACTGCTACCAGACTGGACTGCTGCCAAAGGGCCGTATCAAGTTCACCATCTTCTCCCTGGCATCAGGTCGAAGTCATCACATCTTCGGACAGTGAAACTGGACAGTTGGACAGTTTCTGAAGCTGCGACTCAGAATTTTTGCTCCAGTTTTCTGAAGTAAATCAGTTTTCTACAGTTTTCTACAGTTTTCTACACTTTTCTACAGTTTTCTACAGTTTTCTACAGTTTTCTACCAGAACGGGTACCTAAAAGAAAAAAACGAACGAACTAAGGCCACCAATGGCCACCATCCCCACAGGCCACAGCTCCCACCGTCATGACCTCTCCCAGGAGAACTTGCAAGCGTGGCAACTCCTGGCCGCAGCTCATTAATTCGTTTACTTTTGAAACATGAATGTGTTCCATGATTTCCCATGATGTTCCATGATTTTTGCTCGAATTCTCCAAGATGTTTCCATAAACATATATATATACATATGTGTGTGCATGCATACTAAAAACACAGCATTTTTGGCAGGAAAGCCAGCCATGGCCATCATCGCAGATCTCCCCACCCGGCCACGCCTTGGCTCCACAAATCTCCCCCAAGGTCTTCACAAGCGCAGCATCCTTGGAAAGAAGGCCATAACATGACATGCCCGGGCAACAAAGAAAGGGATATCTGGATGATATAAAGTGTCCACGATACGGATCTCTATTATATATATATAGTATGGAAATCGCATATAATATGACACATACAACATACACATACATGGACAGAAATATGCTTAAAATGACTAGCCAAATAATCGACAATGGACACGATACAAATGTACCAGTAGTGTACAAGTCATCATGTCAATTGTTTGTGCCCCAAAACCTACTTTTGATGGCTTAGGTGATGCACGCGCTGATTCTTTCAGAAACGCTGCTTTGCCCGGCAGCTAACCTCTTGGAATTCCCCACATAAACAACCAGACTTCTAGAGATTTGAGGGTTCTGAAAAAATTCTGAAAAATTTCTGAAAAAAATCTGAAATTCGTCAAAATTCGAGAAAAGCAACGCAAAAAGTTTGAAAATAGCAGCAAAACAGCTTGAAAACAGCAGCAAAACAACCAGTTTTCATTCATTTTTGAATGGCTGGCAGCAGAAAATCTCTGGATTCACAATTTTTTCAGATTTTTTTCAGAAATTTGATTCAGAATTTTTTCAGAAAATTGTCAGAAAAAAAATCAAAACCTTGATTTATAGAACCTTACTAGACTGGAAACTCTCAACTCTAACCACCAGACATCTTGACGAGTGGCACGAGGCAGCTCCAGCTTGTCGGAACCTGTGGCCTTGCGTAGAACCCTTGGCCAGTGGGTGATCTTGCAGGATCTTCCGCGTGTCCCAAGGCATGGATGTCTCATGGTTTGTCTGAGAATGGCATACCCTCTGGTAATGACTAACATAGCTATTGAAAATGACCATAAATAGTGGATTTTCCCATTAAAAATGGTGATTTTCCATAGCTATGTTAAATTACCAGAGGGTATCCAAAATCACCAATTTGATGGGGAAAACGATGATCCCTCACAGGATTCGGGGATACCCTACGTTCAGATAAATATTGACCTGTTAAGTTTGAGTGCGGGACGTTGTGGGTCCCCAGTTTTTACGTCATTTTTAGTTGTTTTTTGTTATTTTTAATGCATTTATTTTATTTCTTCAAATAAATTCTTACTGATTAAGTATGGTTCTAGATATGACAAAGTTTATTCTAAGTTCATCAAGTTCAGACATAATATGAACATTTTTATTAAAATTATATACTGCGGCACATACCCTAAATCGCATTTGAATTCAAATAATGACGAAACAAAATCTATGCTACATATTGGGGATGCCAAAGCAAAGGAGTGTCAAAGGAAAGGGATCTCAAAGCCAATGGTATGTCACTGCAATGGGATGGCAGAGCAATATAGAGAATGCTAGTCGATAGAGTGGAGGCCAGTGCGATAGAAGTGGAGATATGACAGTGCCTTAGAGAATCAAATATGATATGGTTGCAGGAGTCTTGAAAGGAAGATCACGAAAAGAAAGATGAGCTGAACACCAGCTGCAAGCCACCTGATGAAACAAAGGCCAAGAAAAAGAGGACCAAGGCATGAAGGTTCAGAAAGTACCAAATGGAAAGAAGAAATTTCGTACCCAGACTCCGAAACGTTAATGTCAATCTATGTTTTTTTCCGGTGCTTCATTTTGCTTCTCTGATTTATGGAAATCCATTATTTGGATGTTACAAGGGATTGCGTCTTAGCAGTTCTAGGTTATACATATTTAAACAATATGTGTATTCACATGGACAATTTCTTGTATGGCGTGTTGCAATCTATTGCTGATTATGGCATTGGGACGTGGAAGATTTCATGAGCAAGCAGTAACGATTCAGTGCGTGCATCTTCTCTTTTTTGTCCGACGAGCGAGACAGCTGTGAGAGATTTTGAAGCGGAACCGCTCTGGCACCTTTGATTTGATGCATTGCACCAACGAATGACGGAATTGCAAAATGATGGCGGAAGAGTTTGGGTTTGGGAAGATGTTGGAAATATCTTCTAGTCCACATCATCAAATCATTTCTGTGCGGGTCTCTTCAAGACGGCTTGCTTCTTGACCCTACACTTATATTTGCGGCTGGCTGGCTTCTGCAGCACGCCGGCTCGCTTCAAAGTGGACTTACGGGCAGACCAAGGATTGAGGTGCTGCATGTCATCTAATTTTTGCAAATGATTGTGTCGACGCGAGTAAGCCAACACATAGAATCTTTGGTGTTTCGCGTTCATGGAGTTGAATGTGGAGCTGTACCCACGGAACCACGAAAACACCTGTTCAGAAATCGATGTGTTGACTCTTTTCAGTCGCTTATCGATTGCTGGCACCACAGACGGGGAACATTTACATTTGTTGCAATGTCCCTTTGCGTGGAATTTGTCTACACACCAGAACTTGACAGGCTTCAAATCCTGTGTGTTCTTAGCCTTCTTGAAGATGCTACAGGCTCGATCGTAGAGTACTGCATCCACTTTGGGATAATGCGGTAGCAAATTTTGCACAAGATTGAGCGCAACATCCGAATTCTCTGGATCTTTCATCTCAAAAAGGCCTAGGATGACTCCGGTCCCAGGGTGTGTCGCCATGAACCAGCCGTTGTAGAACAATTTGACATGGCCATCCTTCCGAGGACGACCACCGCGAGCTGGTGCTTCATGATAGCACTTTGTGGCGATCTTCTCGTGGCCATCGACAGCGATCTCTTTGACAGACTGCGACATGCGATGGGGAGTTTCGATGGTTTGCCACCATCGGTGGAAGTCCCGAAGATGCCCTTCATGCACAGGATCATCTACGCGAATTGTGCGAAGTTTCTGAATGGAAGTGCTTGGCATAGTGGATTTCCACATGACCGACAGTTCGCTCATGACATTCCAGAGAAGACCTTGTTTGTAATGCTGCAGAACAATGCATATATATTCCTACATATTGATTGTTTCATCATGACAGACTCGTTCCAAACACAGTGGAGAAACTGATAATATACACATAGGGCTACCAATAGTATTAAGTAATTGCTCAACAGAAAACAATAATGATATATATATATATATATATGAATATTCTCTTACATACATATACGAAAATTAAATATATAAACAGCAAACTAGAGTTATCCACTTAATCCAAAATTAAAAAATAACTTTTGGAAATAGAGCTATCCACACGAAAAATGTTGAATCCAGTCGGCAACATGACATCCGCCCGAAGCAAAAAAACAGGCCCAATGCCAACAGAGTTGGCCACTTTTTTCTGCTTCTGCACACGCATGCCCGCGCGTGGCCTGCTGGTTTTTTGCCAGACATCTATGGTATGAAACTGCACACCTGTGATCGTTTCTTGTTGTGAACAAACTTGGCGAGGGACAACTCTAGGATACAAACAAAGTCCAACCCGAAGAAAGAAACATTCAGCCAGATCTTGATCAAATATATATATATATATATATACATATATAACTCTACAGGTGGCAGTTCATACTCCTACGCAGGGGCGCACACAGGCCCTGGCAAGATTTCACTGCTGCTAGATGGTGCAGCCATCAGCTCAGAAGCGCCACCCAGGCGTAAAAACACCATGGTTGATTTGATTGCACAAACAACCCGCAGACCCTTGTTTCTGTCCGTGAATGGACCCAAATAGGGGTAACACTGTGATGGAAACAACCGGCTGAATGGATTGATCCCGCCCCGAATGGGTAGCGCTTCAAGTTCCCATGCAAAGAGTACCTTGCTCAGGTACAAGACGCATCTTGGCAAGAGTTCGTCATTGCTGCCAAGCAGTGCAGTCGCGATGCAAACACATGGCCACCCCGTGTATGACAATACCACCACAGAACGAATTTAAGACAAAAACTTTCTGACTTCTGGTCCAAAACAAATCTGAACATGGAACCTCTATCAAGTCAGGTTTCCAAATAGCCAGCAAAAGGACAACTCCGTAACTCTATGGGTAGCGGGTCAAATTCCAATGCAAGGAACGAGTATTTAATTGAGGTGCAAGATGCACCATGGGAAGACTTGATTGCTGCCTCGCAGTGCAGCCGCAATATTGAGATCTGAAGCATTCACCAATCGCAGCTGAAAAACATTATGGGCATGGTTGGCACAAAATGAGCTAAGAAAACTCAGCCAGGAACCGTGTTAAATGGATAACTCTATTTACTGGATGCTTCAAATATCCAGGCTGCAGGTCTTCTCGAGACGGCTGTTCACTTCTGCCAAGCGGTCCAGCCACACTTCGCGCTGTAGAGGCACGCTGATGGTTTGGACATGCTGATGCAATAGCCAGTTCATACATTCCAACAACGCTGCCAATGGGGAACGGATGTCTCCAAATCTCCTACAAGAACTATGGGTTGCAGGAGTTGAAAAGACATGAAAGCGCCCAAAGGATGTCTATCAAAACCAACAAACATTCCTGCCAAACCTACCAGACCATCAGAAGCACCAAACCAACAAGATCTTTAAAAAGGACAGCTCTACCACAGTGGGAACATGTTGAAGAAAAAACCCGCGAAGACAGGACAACTCTATGTTGTAATTATATGAAGAAAAAGGATCAAATCGATTTGCAAAGAGAAGAAGAGGAAAGGAAGAGGCAAGGAAAGTAAAGGAAGAGGTAAGGATGAGGGAAGGAACAAGAAAGCACGAGGAAAGGAAAAAGAGGAAACAGAAAGGAGGACAGGAAAAAAGAAAGGAAGGGGACAGGAAAAGGAGAGAAATAGGAAAGAAACAAGAAAAAAAGGAGAAAAAAAAGACGAAAGGAAAGAGACATGAAGGGACGAAAGGGTCTATGTGTGGTCTGGGGCTAATTATTACGGCTAATTTCCCCCTCAAGTATGGCTGAGGGCATTGGGAAGGGACAGAGACCGACCGGAACATCGCAGAAACTCAGAGGAAACGAAAGACGCGAAAAGGACAACTCTATCAGAACAGATGCACCACAGCCACAGACAAAACGGGACAACTCTATCTAGCACGCGGTGACACTAACTGTGCAATCCTTCCAGACCGACCAAACATTGCAGAAACTCAAAGAAACCAATAGCCACGAAAAGGACAACTCCATTTATATAGCACATCAGGGGCACCAAAGCAACAGACAGGCGAAAAGGGACAACTGTACTAGCTAGCACGTGGTGAAACTAACTGTGCATTCCTTCCAGACAGGACAAAGCAAAAGCCACGAAAAGGACAACTCTATCTAGCAGAACAGACGCACCACAGGCACAAGACAAAACGGCACAACTCTATCTAGCACGCGGTGACACTAACTGTGCATTCCTTTTGGACCGACCAAACATTGCAGAAACTCGCAGAAAACAATAGCCACGAAAAGGACAACTCCATTTATATAGCATATCAGGGGCACCAAAGCAACAAACAGACGAAAAGGGACAACTCTACTAGCTAGCACGTGGTGAAACTAACTGTGCATTCCTTCCAGACAGGACAAAGCAAAAGCCACGAAAAGGACAACTCTATCTAGCAGACAGATGCACCACAGCCACAGACAAAACGGGACAACTCTATCTAGCACGCGGTGACACTAACTGTGCAATCCTTCCGGACCGACCAAACATTGCAGAAACTCAAAGAAACCAATAGCCACGAAAAGGACAACTCCATTTATATAGCACATCAGGGGCACCAAAGCAACAGACAGGCGAAAAGGGACAACTGTACTAGCTAGCACGTGGTGAAACTAACTGTGCATTCCTTCCAGACAGGACAAAGCAAAAGCCACGAAAAGGACAACTCTATCTAGCAGACAGATGCACCACAGCCACAGACAAAACGGGACAACTCTATCTAGCACGCGGTGACACTAACTGTGCATTCCTTCCGGACCGACCAAACATTGCAGAAACTCGCAGAAACCAATAGCCACGAAAAGGACAACTCCATTTATATAGCACATCAGGGGCACCAAAGCAACAGACAGGCGAAAAGGGACAACTCTACTAGCTAGCACGTGGTGAAACTAACTGTGCATTCCTTCCAGACAGGACAAAGCAAAAGCCACGAAAAGGACAACTCTATCTAGCAGAACAGATGCACCACAGGCACAGACAAAACGGGACAACTCTATCTAGCACGCGGTGACACTAACTGTGCAATCCTTCCGGACCGACCAAACATTGCAGAAACTCAAAGAAACCAATAGCCACGAAAAGGACAACTCCATTTATATAGCACATCAGGGGCACCAAAGCAACAGACGGGCGAAAAGGGACACCTGTACTAGCTAGCACGTGGTGAAACTAACTGTGCATTCCTTCCAGACAGGACAAAGCAAAAGCCACGAAAAGGACAACTCTATCTAGCAGAACAGATGCACCACAGGCACAAGACAAAACGGGACAACTCTATGTAGCACGCGGTGACACTAAGTGCGCATTCCTTCCGGACTCACCAAACATTGCGGAAACTCGTAGAAAACAATAGCCACGAAAAGGACAACTCCATTATATAGCTCATCAGGGGCACCAAAGCAACAAGCATACGAAAAGGGACAACTGTACTAGCTAGCACGTGGTGAAACTAACTGTGCGTTCCAACGTCAGATCCCCCCCACACCTAGAAATATTTCAGCTAAAAAATTCTGGTTCATAATGGTCTCTCCACGGCCTGGTTGAATTCAAGGCTGAATGTCAAGCTCTGAAGGCTGTTTGACAAGTTCACTCTCTCCAGTGTCTGGTGGAAGCTATGCTTCCAAATGTCCAGCTTTGAAGGCTGGTTGGCAAGTTCACTCTCTTAAGTGTCTGGCGGAAGCTACTTCCAAATGTCAAGCTTTAAGGCTGGTTGGCAAGTTCACTCTCTCCAGTGTCTGGTGGAAGCTATGCTTCCAAATGTCCAGCTTTGAAGGCTGGTTGGCAAGTTCACTCTCTTAAGTGTCTGGTGGAAGCTACTTCCAAATGTCAAACTCTGAAGGCTGGTTGGCAAGTATGTTTGTGCCAATATAAATAAATAAATAAATCTATATATATAATATGCATATGTGTATTTAAGTATGTGTATGTATATATATATATATGAATGTATGAAAATAAAAATGTATGAGTGTATGTATGTATGTATGTATGTATGTCTGTTCAAAATGAAAGGGTGTGACATACCATTTCTGGGCTAAAATGTTGCATCCGGAGGAACCCCCCCTCACATCTTTCGAACGCCCAAAAAACATCTGGGGGCGGTATATTTCATGTGGTCAGGCGAATTCTTTTTTAGAAATTTCGCAGAAATTCGGACAAAGCGAAAGTCACGAAAAGGACAGCTCTATCTAGCACATCAGGGGCACTAAACTCTACCTAGCCTTGCAGATGGTGAATGTAGCTCACTCCAAACAAATGCATTCTTCCTGGGAACATCGCATGAAAATGAGGCGAAAAGGACAACTCTGTGGCCTAGCATCTCTAGCTAGCGTGCATTCCTGCTATTATTGGACTGTCAAGGCATTAGGCAAGAACAGCAAGAGATCTGTGACCCATCTCCTGGAGACATAGTTGCACCCACCTCCCTCACTCGGATAATGCGCGGACCACGCGCCTGCTGAATGCCTTCCAAGACCACAGCCCACTACATTGGGCAGCATCTCCACGAAACCCTCCTTTTCAAGCACCTTGTACTCTTCTGAGACGTGGAACTTCTTCTCTTTGGAAACATCAGAAATTGCTGGCCCCCTCTCCCATCCTGCATCCTCAAAACCTAGATCTAGGTCTGATTGCTCTTCTTCTGTCTGGCCTCCACCCTCACTCACTGCATCTTCGTGGTGCTGTACCTCGGCACCGGCTGGGGCTTGAACCTGGTCGGGCTCTTCCTCCTCATCGCTGCTGCCACTGGCGGCATTCAGTGACTCATCATCTGAATAAGGCACAAGCGGCATCATGTTGGCTTCTGGAGGCGCCTGAAGATGCTTCAAGCAGCAAACGCGCGACTTCGGGAAGCCTTCGCCCTCAATGGTGAAATGCCCACCACCGCTTGCACGTAGATCGGCTGGTGGCACAAACATCAGCTTCAAGACGTTGACCTTCGTCTTCTTGTTGCTCACATGCAACTCCTTCTCGGCGACCTTGCAAAACTTTGTCACCCATCTGTCGGGTGCTACCTTCTGCTTCGCCCGCAAGAACACAATGAACATTGGCTCCTCAAAATGATCTGTCAAGGTTTTCAGCTGCTTCGCTGAAAGCTCCGGAAGCTCCCCGTCTGCAAACGACGCCTCAGCAACAACGGGCTAGCAACGAGAGAATAGAATAGAATACAGCTTAATTAACAGACATAGACATAGACATAGAGTTGTCCCTTTTCAACAACAAAGAGGCAGGTGTCGAAAATACGCCAACACACAACAAGTGGGAAAGTCCTGACAACTCACCACAAAATCACACTGAGGCTCCAATATGTCTGCCCGTTTTCGAGTGAACATCGAAGCTTTCTTCTGGATTGCAATGGATATCTCACCCGGGACGCCCTCCCAACCTGTAGGCCTCTGCACACACCATGTCCACTTCTCTGTGTGAGGAGCCGGTGGAAGCTCATCCAACTGCACACCCAACAACCTGCCGAATCCTGACGGATCCAGTTGCAGCGCAGCTGCAGTTGCTTGATCCTGCAGGTCCTGCGCAGAACCAGCGTTGATGTAGCCACAGACTGTCCAGGCAGACTTGAAATACACCAGGGGGACCTTCTCCCACGCTTGTACGGAGGAGTATAGCAGGTCGACAAAGTTGACTTTGACCTTCGCCTGGCCGTTGGGCAGGATGGTGAGGTCTTCAAAATTCTTTCGGCACCGGAGGTCCTCCACATAGCCCAGGAACGACGCATCACAAGAAGCCAGCAACCTGCGATAGATATGGTGAAGTTGATCAACAGGCTGCCCATTCGCACTCCATCCTCCTGACTTGTTGGAACTGTCTTACAAACGGGCAGCGGATTAGTTCTTGAAGCCTCATGGGGAAGTCAACAACAGAAAAGTGGACAACTCCAAAAATTAAGAACCGCAAGCGGCCTGGATTGCGATATGGCATTTCGACGCCAAACTGGGCAGTAAACGCTTGCCGTGCAAGGTCTTCCCCGGAGGAAGTTGCATGGAAACCCGACCACGCGTCTGTCAAGAACATGCCACGGCTGGTTCCATCCAGTTTGTGCTTTGCGCGCTGGAGCTTGTATGCATCACCATACAAATTTTCAAGCAGTTCGCTGAATGTCTGGGAAGTCATGAAGTGGCTTTTGGTCTCTGAGTACAAGGCATATGCCCTTCCTCTATGGCTGGCATTGAATTCCCGCACAGCCGATTCACGCACGAGTCCCTGGGGGATGTGCAAGGCTATTGGTCCTGGTGTCATGTCGCCCCAGGAAGCCGTCACAATGGTGATGGATTTCCGCGCCTGCGCCACATGCTGATGCACCTTGTTTGTCGGCCTCCCTTTTTTCTTCCCTTTCTTCCCTACTGAATCTCTGCCCTTTCGCAAACAATACTTCGTGCCTGCATGGCCAGCTCGCCAAACTTGGTCTATGTTCAAAACCAAGCGGCGGTCAATCCCGGAATTCAACTTGTCAAAGAATGTCGCTCTTGCCTGAACCATCAGCGGGTGATTCATATCCAGAAACACCCCTTTGTGTTCAACTTCGGTCTGCTCCAGCCGTAGCGGTGTATAAAATTGTGTGCCCACGATCGGGGCAAATTTTCACATGCTTTCTTAACAGGTCCAGGGAAAGCGCGAAGAGCTGCTGTGGCTGAAAGGTCGTCTCGCGCAACTTGTCGCTGAAGATCGGCTTTGAAGTCATTCAATTTCTGCTTCTCCTCGGGGGAGGTATTTCTCACAAAGCCAGGAAAAGGATAACTCTATATGTAGGAAAGTTTGCATTGAAGCTTCTACCAAGTTAGGTTCAGCAGCCTTCTCTTTATTCCTCGTGATTTGTATTTAAAATTCATAGCCACCCTTCCATTGCACAGTGCCATGATTATGCATGGTGCCGATCAGGAGAAACAAAAAAACGAAAGGATAACTCTACAGGAAACCGGGCCTTCTCCAGTCCAATGTTGTATTCCTTGCACATTGCGCTCGCTGTGCTGGCAAGCTGCTCAATCAGTACCTCTTCGTTCCTGCCTGTGACGTTCGAGATGCCCATGGTGCTCCGGGCAAGGAACCTATCTAGCTGATCCTGGACAATCTGCGGAACAAACCAGCGCACATTGCCATTCTCGCGAAGGTTGCCAAGCTTGCGGGCCTTTTTCCATGCATCTGAAAGCTGATACATTTTGCTGCGCTCCTCTTGCGGAATCTCCTCCCATTTTTGCGTTTTGGCCTCCTTCACCCAGCGCTGAATCCTGCATGACTTTGGCACATCTCCAAAATGGCTTCTGGTGGCTGCTAAGCAGCGAGCTTTCTTGAAGGACTTTCCCTGCTCCTTGGCCTGCTTCACGAGCTCCCGGAAATGTTGCACAACCTGATATTTTTTTTCGATGGTCCAGCCTTTCTTTCTCTTCTTTAAAGCTGGCATCTCAGAAAAGTCTTCCTCAGCCTTTCTTTTCTTCTTGGCTGGTTGTTGGACCTCGCCTTTTCTGCTGGTCCAAATGTGCCGCCTCCGCTTGTTGCACTTCTTTCGCGCCGCATCTCGCTCCTCATCGTCAAGAAGCCTCAGCGCTTTCCTTTTTTTGGCGCTCTCTATCTGTTTCTGGCGCTTCTCCTGCCTCTGGATCTTCTGATTGTGCTCAAACATCTTTTTCTCAACCTTCTTCAGCTCCTCCCGCAGCTTGTTCATCCTTGCGCCAAACAAGCACCCAGCGCTAATTGTGGTCACCGTCTCCTCATCTCTCAGCATGCCTGACAGCTCATCATCTTCATCGAAACCCACCACTTGCTCCAACAATCCAGAGCGAAAGTTTTCAGTGTCTTCTCGGCTTGCAGTGTCAGGAATAAAGGTATGCCGATGAACCAGCTCCATTGCCTTCTTACAACGTTCCAGCTTGCCTCGGATGTTTTGGGAAGCGTTCTGCAAAGAGTTCAAGTGTTCCTCGGTGGCTTGGCGCTTTGCTTCACCTTGTGCGGCCTTTTCGGATTCAACTTGCAACGCCTGTCCAAGCCGTGTCTCACATGCTTGCAAATGGTTCTGGGCAGATTTCGCACCTACAGTGGCGAACTCCTTCAAGAAAGTCGAATCGACGACCATCCTTGGTATAGGGGCAGCTCCATTGCCAAAACAAAAGATGGAATCTAACAGGATTGGTATCATCACGAAAGAAAGTGGCCAACTCTATAACTCAAAGAATCGCGTGCAAGCAAAAATTAGCACTGCGCACCGCCAAGCATCTTGTCTGGCAAATACAGGAAGCTTCGCACAGTGGCATTCTTGCCTGAAGTGGCAACGTTCACCGAACAAATGTCGTCAGTCTCGTGCCACGAAAAGCCGTCTTCATTTACTTTGCCAAAGTGGAATCGGATAGCATCGTACAAGTCTTTCCCTGGAACGGGTGGTAGGACTTCTGCCAAAACCAAGCGTGAATCTGGTTCCTGGAAAAGTTTCAGGAGCTGGGCAATGGCTTCGTTTTTGATGCCCTTGTCTCCTTGGCTATAGATGAGGCCAGCAGGCACTCCTTCCAAGGGGTACTGCTCGAAGAGATCCCATGGCCCTACCACAACCTTGTTGAAGATTGTCCTGTGCACTTGGCTAGGCTTCCTCCCAAAGGCACGCTTCTCACCAAACAAGAAAGCAAGAGGCTGGTCATCTACCTCCATCATCATGTGGTACTTGTCAAGTATGACGGAAGGGAGCACGCCATGTTCAGATGTAGCCAGGAACTTGTCACTAGATTGTTTTTTCGCTTCGACCTTGCTTTTTTCTACCCTGCCCGTATCAAGCCAGAAATCGGTGACGTCCTTGCCCATATCGCCTGAAACCGGCGTACTCTTGGTATTGGGCCCATGTTCAGCCTCATCTAAAAGTTTGCAAATTTGTCCTCCATCTCCAAAGCCACCAAGCTCGTCTTCTTCATGTTTGCCTGCCTCTTCTGTCACTGTCTGGACAAATGCTTCTGCTTCTTGGCGAACCCTTCCCAAAACAATGTAGCTAACCCATCTGTCCTTGCTGACCCTGCCAGGGTGAACTGGCAAACTCGCCTCTTCATCTGCTAGCTTCTTCAATTCTTTCAGGCTCAAGCCTGCATGCAATTCCGACCAATCCTTCTGACCAGACTCGCAAATCCGCAACGCTTCAGTGAGCGCCAGCTCCCGGCTGCAGCCTATTTTCGAATACGGGATTTTCACCTCTGTCTGGTTCTGACCCAAGCAGCGGACTGTAATGCGGATTACCTTGTGTCCTCTGTGTTCGCGAAGCTCCAGATGCTTTGTCTCCTTCGATCAAGGATATCAAACAGGCGTGGTAAACAGGGCGGGAGAAATTGGTAAAAAGGCTGCAGGCTACAGAAAGCATCCTTTTGAAACTTTTGCACCAAGCTCTCAAGGTCCAAATTCTCCTTTTGGGAGCACATGCATACTGCAGGGCTTTCACAAAGAAGAATCTGGAACCATACTAAGCGGCTAACTCCATGCAGTGAGAAATGCACATTGGGAATCTTCAAGTCTTCAGCGCATTTCGCCAAACTAGCTAAAGCACACCAAGTGGCTAACTCCAGACCCAATGTGAATCTACAAAAAAATCCCCGCTCAAAAAGACGCAAAACGAAAAACAATTCAAGCCTCAGTCTCCTCGTTGGGTTGACCCGCTTCCGGCGCAGCCTGGAACCAGCAGACCAAAGCCCGGTGCAAACCACATCAAGTGGCCAACTCTGTACACACATACAGCTCAGGCGCCCATCGAACATTAAGCTGAACTTCCCCTCGAAAACTTTTTTGCGGCAAACAAAAAAAGTTGATCCATCGGAGCCTTTGTCTGCCCATTGTCTCCAGCTGCTTCAGTCGGAGCCTGCAGAACTGGAAAACGAAACTGCAAACCACACCAAGTGGCTAACTCTACTCTCCACAGCCCAGCTCCCCGTGGAAGGGCAAGAGAACCATAAACAATATGGAAAGGAGGATGATCCACGGGGGCCTTTGTCTCCCCATTGTGTCCAGCTGCTTCAGGTAAAGCCTGCAGAGCCTGCAGAGGGCAGTTTAAAACCAAAGATGACCAAAGCACAGGCCACACCAAGTGGCTACCTCTACACAGGTCGGGCGCCCATCCAACAGGAACTTAATTTCCCCTCACAAACTTTTCTCAAACCAGGCGAACAGATCCAGCGGCGCCTCTGTCTTCCCATTGTCCCCAGATGCTTCAGTTGGGGCCTGCAGAATTGAAATACACTGGAACCAAACCGCAAACCACACCAGGTGGCTGACTGGACCCCATGGAAAGGCAAGATGGCTTGCGACAAACAAACTTTAAACTCTTTTCTGCACAACAAATTTGGAATAGATGATTGGGCGGTATATTGGGGCCTCTGTCTTCCCATCCTGTCCGGCTTCTTCAAGGAAAGCCTGCGGAAAGCAGAAAAAGATCAAAGCAAAGGCTACACCAAGTGGCTAACTCTACACATTTCTGGAACCCATAAAAGGGCAAGATCGGCTAACTCTACACAGGTCAGGCGTCGAAGAATCAGACTGAACCTGTTTAGGCTCCTTCTCTCCTGTCTTTGCCTTCTTTGCCTTCTTTGCACCCTGCAGATGCACTTTTGCTTGCCAAAGGGCTGCTTGCAAATGGGAAGTGGTGACAGCAATAAGAACAGACGATCAACATGAACTGGGCCGAGAAAACTTTCACTGATGGCCATTGAAATCCGTGAAAGATCTTGCCTTCGCTTTGGGTTCATCCACTTCTGCTTCAGCCTGCCGCAAGCAAATTAGCCAAAGCCCAGGCATACCAATGCTTATAGATGATTGGGCTGTATATTGGGGCCTCTGTCTTCCCATTGTGTCCGGCTTCTTCAAGGAAAGCCTGCGGAAAGCAGAAAAAGATCAAAGCACAGGCCACACCAAGTGGCTAACTCTACACATTTCCAGACCCCAGAAAAAGGCAAGATGACTTGCAACAAGCTATGGGAAAATGATCCACGTGGGCCTTTGTCTCCCCATTGTGTCCAGCTGCTTCAGGTAAAGACTGCAGAAAGCAGATTAAAACCAAAGATGACCAAAGCACAGGCCACACCAAGTGGCTACCTCTACAACAGGAATTTCAATTTCCCCTCACAAACTTTTCTCAAACCAGGCAACAAATCCAGCGGGGCCTCTGTCTTCCCATTGTCCCCAGCTGCTTCAGCCGGAGCCTGCAGAATTGAAAGGCGTTGAAACCAAATCGCAAACCACAGCAAGTGGCTGCCTGGACCCCATGGAAAGGCAAGATGACTTGTAACACACAACGATAATAGATGCTTGGGCGGTATTGGGGCCTCTGTCTTCCCAGTGTGCCCGGCTTCTTCAAGGAAAGCCTGCGGAAAGCAGAAAAAGATCAAAGCAAAGGCTACACCAAGTGGCTAACTCTACACATTTCCGGAGCCCATAAAAGGGCAAGATCGGCTAACTCTACACAGGTCAGGCGTCGACGAATCAGACTGAGCCTGTTTAGGCTCCTTTTCTCCTGTTTTTGCCTTCTTTGCCTTCTTTGCACCCTGCAGGTGCACTCTTGCTTGCCAAAGGGCCGCTTGCAAATTGGAAGCGGTGACAGCAATAAGAACAGACGATCAACATGAACTGGGCCGAGAAAACTTTCACTGATGGCCATTGAAATCCGTGAAAGATCTTGCCTTCGCTTTGGGTTCATCCACTTCTGCTTCAGCCTGCCGCAAGCAAATTAGCCAAAGCCCAGGCATACCAATGCTTTGAAACGGCGCCGGAATAGCCTGCGTGGTGTCCACAATCATAGCAGGGACAGCTTCTGCCTCAGCCTCGAAAGGGTCAAATTGTCTGGTGGATAGTTTGGCGAGCAACATTCATGTGGTATGCCAGCGTGCCTCGATGCAAGTGAAGACGGCTGTAATTACCATCGCCAAGTTGTGCAGGTGCATTGCGTTTCCTATGCGTTCGTGAGGTTTCTTGGTCAGGTAAGGGTCAACGGTCGGCCGCTGGAAGAGTTCTGCTAGTTTGTCTGAGCACGGCCAGCCCATCGCCGCCCATTTTTCCTTGGCAGTGAGCCATCGGTGGCGACTGCTCGACCAAAATTTGCTGCCGCTGGCAGTGAGGAAGGTAGGCAAAGAGCCGTCTTCGTGGGCATACGTTGGCCTTTTTTTCGGGTTCTGACCAATCACGCAAACGTGCTGGTATTGGGGCACTGCCTCATCTTTGAACAGCTTCGCATACCCAGAAATGCATTCCTTCTCGCTTGGGAATAGCATGTCCCAACTCAGCTGGAAAGAAAATCACAATGTCAGGCATCCAGGAGGCTATCTCTATTTATAATATATATATATAGATATAGATATAGATTTAGATATATAATCCAACTGAATGACTGAATGACATTTTTCCACATAACTACTGCAATTTCAATAGCTACGGTTTGAAGCCAGCCACCCTGACACTCAAACAGGCAACTAAGCCAGTGGCAAACTTCCATCTTCAGTGTACTTGCGCATCTGAGTCGCAGCACTTTGGCGCTCCTTTTGCATCTCCTCTGGACTATCAAAGCACCAAAGTGCTTCTTGTTGAACTTGGCGGAGTGCCAATTCCGATGCAAACTGATTGTAGAGTTTCTGAGGGTCCGCTATCCACCGGTAGGGTGGCAAAAGCCCAAACAAGTATCCCCTGTCTCTCCGGATGCTTCCCAGACCAGCATCTTCGCATGCCACAACCACAAACCGGGTGTCCATGCCAGGCATGGAATCCTTTGTCGCTGATTGGCCTTCCTCACTGAGGACGTTTTCTGAAGCCCGTATTGGGATCTTCTGCCGCTCCAGGAAGCTGAAATGAGAAACCATGCTGGCAGAAAACTGTCCTTCAACTCCTTGCTGATTGCCCTGAGGGCTATAATCTCGGCAGCAATGTCCGGAGAGGTCAAACTCAACTGGTTTGATGCTGCACTTGCGATTGTGCTTTGCGCATTCCACTTTCTGTGTCACTTGGGAACCGCCCGCCTTCAGCAAGTTTCTTTTCTCTTCAAAACTCATTTTGCTCAAGTTCGCAGGCAGCTTCCACAAGTCGAGGACATTCTTGTGAATGCAGCATGAGCCGAACCGCTGGCGCAGAAATTCCTCGGGCTCATGGCAGCTGTTCTGGAGGAGCATTATAAAAGGGATTACTCTATGTGCTGTGGACGGCAAACATGTATTGCACCACCGGACACAAAACACAATTTACCATGTGAGCGAGCAAGTGGCATGGCAATCCGCATCGCTTTCACACATGTACTTTGATTCGAACTTCAAGGGGACGAATTTGTTCACTACAGCCATCACCTCCTCTGCGGACCCGATGCCTGTGAAGCGTGATCCCCTGAGTTGCGGGAGGACACACAATTTATACAACTCAACAAACAACTGATTACGACATGTGTCTACAAGTGGCTAACTCTATGCAAAAGGACTGCAACTCAGCCCTGCGCCAGAAAAGCGACCTGTTCTGCCACAGCAGGGGTTTGTGCCCATGAGCTTCCAGTTCGCCCGCAGCCTTTCGAGCCATTCCAAAAATAGCCGGTAGTCGGGCAAAGCATTCTTCAAGGCTTTGCGGTGGCAGAGCCCGCACCTGTCGTCTCAGCAGGTTTTGGGGTTTGAATGATAGAGGCACCTGCTGCGTGCGCAGCTTTTGTTCATCCGTCAAGCTCAGCTGCTTCCCTGGAGAAATCTTTGAAGCGAAATCCAAGCGGAAAAAATGGAAGCCAGTGGGGTCCCATACCTCCAAGATCCGCCCAAGCTTGATGCCCAGCACTGCCGTTTGGTGGTCGAACATCTCCCCAATGTCTTCCCCATGGAAGCGCTTCACTTCTTCAAGTGGGACACGCCGCTGCTTGGCAACCTCAACAACCATGTAGGGGAAACCTGGTGTACGCCCAGCCCGTAGTACCAAGATCGAGCTCGAGCGAAGCTGTGTTCGTAGTCTTGGCACATCTGAACGAAACTCAAAAGATTTGTCTCCACGCAGGATCTTCATGAAGTATTCCCTTCTGATCGTCAACAGAGGAGCTCCTGGAAAGGAGTTGGCGCTTGGGATTAGCATGTCGAAATGCTCAGCCCCGCTCGCGCAGGAAGTGAGTAGAAGGTTCAAAGCCTTGTTCTTGGCGTCGCCAAATGCAACGAACTCAGCCGAACAAGCTTGCACAACTAGTATGCATGCGTGACATCGAATCAAAGTAGACAACTAGATGGCACTCACCGTCCAAAGAGAGACTGGTGTCAAGATCAAAGAACGATACATCAAGTGATCAAGCAACAAAATGCATACCGCTGCGCAGCGTCCGCAAGCAACTCACGGAACTCAACTAATTAAGGCTCTGGCGGCATTCTCCGATGAACTCATATGCAAGCAAATGAAGAGGCCAAAACATTCGGCCGCCAATCCAAGTTCTTTCTCCTCCAGGTATTTTTTGCCTTCAACCATTTCCGGGCCTAGATTCGCCCAGCTTGTCAATTTCTCTGCTGCTTCTCTGGCAAGACAAATTTTCCTCTTCAAATCCAATTTTTTCCAAGCAAGGTAGCCGATTTGAGAGGCGGCAATCCCATGAAAACCACAGCGAGCATCGGCCGGCAATTCGCACACTTCAAAGGAACAGTTACTTTCATGCAAAGCCCAGGTAACTGGCACATTGCGGTTCACGGGAGCGAAAAAAGCACGGCTTCCGGGCACTGCAGCAAGCTGACGGCAGACCACCTGCAAACAGAGCAGCAGCTTTGGGAATCTTCAGCGCACTGCGCCAAACTAGCCAAAGCACACCAAGTGGCTAACTCCAGACCCAATGTGAGTCTACCAAAAAATCCCCGCTCAAATAGATGCAAAACGAAAAACAAGTCAAGCCTCAGTCTGCTCGTTGGGTTGGCCCGCTTCCGGCGCAGCCTGGCACCAGCAGACCAAAGCCCGGTGCAAACCACATCAAGTGGCCAACTCTGTACACACATACAGCTCAGGCGCCCATCGAACATTAAGCTGAACTTCCCCTCGAAAACTTTTCTGCGGCAAACAAAAAAAGTTGATCCATCGGGGCCTCTGCCTGCCCATTGTCTCCAGCTGCTTCAGTCGGAGCCTGCAGAATTCAAATACATTGAAACCAAACTGCAAACCACACTAACTGGCTAACTCTATCAGGAACTTCAATTTCCCCTGACAAACTTGTCTCAAACCAGGCGCAGAAATCCAGCGGGGCCTCTGTCTTCCCATTGTCCCCAGCTGCTTCAGTCGGAGCATGCAGAGCTGAAATGTATTGAAACCAAACCGCAAACCACACTAGTGGCTAACTCTACTCTACACAGCCCAGGACCCCATGGAAGGGCAAGATGACTTGCAACAAGCAAAGTGAATTAAAAGCAATATGGTAAAAATGATCCACGGGAGCCTTTGTCTCCCCATTGTGTCCAGCTGCTTCAGGTAAAGCCTGCAGAAAGCAGATTGAAACCAAAGATGACCAAAGCACAGGCCACACCAAGTGGCTAACTCTACACAGGTCGGGCGCCCACCCATCAGGAATTTCAATTTCCCCTCAAAGTGAATTAAAAGCAATATGGAAAAAATGATCCACGGGAGCCTTTGTCTCCCCATTGTGTCCAGCTGCTTCAGGTAAAGCTTGCAGAAAGCAGATTGAAACCAAAGCACAGGCCACACCAAGTGGCTAACTCTAGACAGGTCGGGCGCACACCCATCAGGAACTTCAATTTCCCCTGACAAACTTGTCTCAAACCAGGCGAAGAAATGCAGCGGGGCCTCTGTCTTCCGATTGTCCCCAGCTGCTTCAGTCGGAGCCTGCAGAGCTGAAATATATTGAAACCAAACCGCAAACCACACTAAGTCGCTAACTCTACTCTACACAGCCCAGGACCCCATGGAAGGGCAAGATGACTTGCAACAAGCAAAGTGAATTAAAAGCAATATGGAAAAAAATGACCCACGGGGGCCTTTGTCTCCCCATTGTGTCCAGCTGCTTCAGGTAAAGCCTGCAGAAAGCAGATTGAAACCAAAGATGACCAAAGCACAGGCCACACCAAGTGGCTAACTCTACACAGGCCGGGGCTCACCCATCAGGAACTTCAATTTCCCCTGACAAACTTGTCTCAAACCAGGCGCAGAAATCCAGCGGGGCCTCTGTCTTCCGATTGTCCCCAGCTGCTTCAGTCGGAGCCTGCCGAGCTGAAATATATTGAAACCAAACCGCAAACCACACTAAGTGGCTAACTCTACTCTACACAGCCCAGGACCCCATGGAAGGGCAAAATGACTTGCAGAGCCTCTGTCTTCCGATTGTCCCCAGCTGCTTCAGTCGGAGCCTGCAGAGCTGAAATATATTGAAACCAAACCGCAAACCACACTAGTGGCTAACTCTACTCTACACAGCCCAGGACCCCATGGAAGGGCAAGATGACTTGCAACAAGCAAAGTGAATTAAAAGCAATATGGTAAAAATGATCCACGGGAGCCTTTGTCTCCCCATTGTGTCCAGCTGCTTCAGGTAAAGCCTGCAGAAAGCAGATTGAAACCAAAGATGACCAAAGCACAGGCCACACCAAGTGGCTAACTCTACACAGGTCGGGCGCCCACCCATCAGGAATTGCAATTTCCCCTCAAAGTGAATTAAAAGCAATATGGAAAAAATGATCCACGGGAGCCTTTGTCTCCCCATTGTGTCCAGCTGCTTCAGGTAAAGCCTGCAGAAAACAGATTGAAACCAAAGATGACCAAAGCACAGGCCACACCAAGTGGCTAACTCTACACAGGCCGGGGCTCACCCATCAGGAACTTCAATTTCCCCTGACAAACTTGTCTCAAACCAGGCGCAGAAATCCAGCGGAGCCTCTGTCTTCCGATTGTCCCCAGCTGCTTCAGTCGGAGCCTGCCGAGCTGAAATATATTGAAACCAAACCGCAAACCACACTAAGTGGCTAACTCTACTCTACACAGCCCAGGACCCCATGGAAGGGCAAAATGACTTGCAACAAGCAAAGTGAATTAAACGCAATATAGAAAAAATGACCCACGGGGGCCTTTGTCTCCCCATTGTGTCCAGCTGCTTCAGGTAAAGCCTGCAGAAAGCAGATTGAAACCAAAGCACAGGCCACACCAAGTGGCTAACTCTAGACAGGTCGGGCGCACACCCATCAGGAACTTCAATTTCCCCTGACAAACTTGTCTCAAACCAGGCGCAGAAATCCAGCGGAGCCTCTGTCTTCCGATTGTCCCCAGCTGCTTCAGTCGGAGCCTGCCGAGCTGAAATATATTGAAACCAAACCGCAAACCACACTAAGTGGCTAACTCTACTCTACACAGCCCAGGACCCCATGGAAGGGCAAAATGACTTGCAACAAGCAAAGTGAATTAAACGCAATAGTCTCCCCATTGTGTCCAGCTGCTTCAGGTAAAGCCTGCAGAAAGCAGATTGAAACCAAAGATGACCAAAGCACAGGCCACACCAAGTGGCTAACTCTTCACAGTCGGGCGCCCACCCATCAGGAACTTCAATTTCCCCTGACAAACTTGTCTCAAACCAGGCGAAGAAATGCAGCGGGGCCTCTGTCTTCCGATTGTCCCCAGCTGCTTCAGTCGGAGCCTGCAGAGCTGAAATATATTGAAGCCAAACCGCAAACCACACTAGTGGCTGACTGGACCCCATGGAAAGGCAAGATGGCTTGCAACAAACAAACTTTAAACTCTCTTCTGCACAAAGAATTCGGAATAGATGATTGGGCTGTATTGGGGCCTCTGTCTCCCCATTGTGTCCAGCTTCTTCAAGGAAAGCCTGGAGAGAGCAGAAAAAGACCAAAGCACAGGCCACACCAAGTGGCTAACCCTACACATTTCCAGACCCAATAAAAAGGCAAGATGACTTGCAACAGGCTATGGGAAAATGATCCCACGTGGGCCTTGTCTCCCCATTGTGTCCAGCTGCTTCAGGTAAAGCCTGCAGAAAGCAGATTGAAACCAAAGATGACCAAAGCACAGGCCACACCAAGTGGCTAACTCTTCACAGTCGGGCGCCCACCCATCAGGAACTTCAATTTCCCCTGACAAACTTGTCTCAAACCAGGCGAAGAAATGCAGCGGGGCCTCTGTCTTCCGATTGTCCCCAGCTGCTTCAGTCGGAGCCTGCAGAGCTGAAATATATTGAAGCCAAACCGCAAACCACACTAGTGGCTGACTGGACCCCATGGAAAGGCAAGATGGCTTGCAACAAACAAACTTTAAACTCTCTTCTGCACAAAGAATTCGGAATAGATGATTGGGCTGTATTGGGGCCTCTGTCTCCCCATTGTGTCCAGCTTCTTCAAGGAAAGCCTGGAGAGAGCAGAAAAAGACCAAAGCACAGGCCACACCAAGTGGCTAACCCTACACATTTCCAGACCCAATAAAAAGGCAAGATGACTTGCAACAGGCTATGGGAAGGTGATCCACGTGGGCCCTTGTCTCCCCATTGTGTCCAGCTGCTTCAGGTAAAGCCTGCAGAGCCTGCAGAGAGCAGATTAAGACCAAAGCACAGGCCTCTTCTTTTCGATTGCTCCTAGGTGCTTCAGTCGGAGCCTGCAGAGCTGAAATACATTGAAAGCAAACCGCAAACCACACTAAGTGGCCAACTCTACTCTATACACAGCGCAGGACCCCATGGAAGGGCAAGATGACTTGCAGAGCCTCTGTCTTCCGATTGTCCCCAGCTGCTTCAGTCGGAGCCTGCAGAGCTGAAATACATTGAAACCAAACCGCAACCACACTAGTGGCTAACTCTACTCTACACAGCGCAGGACCCCATGGAAGGGCAAGATGACTTTCAACAAGCAAAGTGAACCACATGCAATATGGAAAGGATGATCCACGGGGGCCTCTGTCTTCCCATTGTGCCCAGCTGCTTCGAGTGGAACCTGGGGAAAGCAGATTAAGACCAAAGCGCAAACCACACCAAGTGGCCAACTCTACACAGCTCACATAGCTCAGGCGCCCATGCAACAGGAACCTTAACTTGCCATATTATGCCAGACTGTGCCAGCAATGGGCAGCACAAAGACTCGGTATTTGGAAATCTCTAT